CGCCGCTCTCGGCGCGGGGCCGGCTCTGGGTGCTCGGGAGGGCGGCCGGTCCCCTGGAGTGCCCCGGCAGGCTCCCGCGGAGCGAGGGGCTGCGCTGTCTCGGGGCAAGGCCGGTGCGGCTGGGGGACCTGCCTCCCCGTCTCTGCTGAGCGCTCAGCCGCGTCTCCCAACTCGCTCCGTCTCTAAGGAGGCTCTGGGCGGAGACCCCGTCACCGCAGCATTGCTGCGCTTCTGCCCGCAGCTCGGAGGGTCACGAGCTACCTTTGTGAAAGGAGGAGCCCAGAGGTCCCTGCAGGACACACAGCCACGGCCCCCCGCCCCATCCAGCAGTCTCGGGGCAAAAGTAACTGCTCTCAGCAGCTCTTCCCGGGGGAGGGGATTTAGAGGCTACGGGGTCCTCCCCGCCTCCGAGTCCCGTGGCTGTTTTTGTTGAACAGGTATTCATACTCGTCGTGTGCGAGGCAAGGGCTAGGTACCCTGTACGCTAACAGCGGGATGGGAGGGGAAGGAGACAGAAACTTGCTTAATACTTTCCCAGCCCCTGGCCTCTGGCTTCTTTCCCCCGCTTGTGGACCACTGTGCTTGAGCAGGAGCAGCCTGGGCCGGCAGAGTGCCCTGGGACAAGTATTTCCAAGGACTCGAGGGAGCCTGCGAAGCCCTTCCAGCTACTGCCCGCACCACACCCTCTTCCCCCGCCGCCACCCCATCTCCCTGCAGGTGAGGGAGCGATTAGGCCAGAGGCAGGGAGCCCCGTCCAGCAGCACAGCAGCGAGGTTCTGCCCAGCCCTGCCCTGCTCTGTGCGCCACTCTTCCCCACTCCTGGCCACGCGTGCACACACTGAGCCGTGAACAGCGAGAGAGGGTCGTCCCAACCCCTCCTCTCCCCTCCGAGAAACAGAGCGGGCCACCCCCGGAGCCTGTGTGCTGCTCTTGCCCTCCGAGCCTGGGGGCAAGGACCATGTTTTACTAGCAAGGAAACTGCAGCTCCTGGCACAGCTGAGCAGAGCCCGTCTGCACTGAGTGTTCCTGGCATGGATGGACGGCCGGCCGGATGGATGGATAGGTGGATGGATGAATGGATGGATGGGGGAATAACGGGGCACTTGGTCAGACATTTAAACCTCAGGCCGTAGACCACTCCCCCAGGGAGATCCCTCCCCACCAGGCAATAATCTTAACAAGCACCACCATTTATCGAGCACTTTGCAAAGGCTGAGCTGGAGTCTCCTCTCCGCCCTGTTGGGAAGTGGGCCACTAGGGAGACAGGTTGGGTGGGCTTCACTGCCCATGGCCCAGCTTCACCACGCTCCGCTAGGGCTGCTGCCACCCTCGCTGTCTGCCTCTCTCTCAACTGCTCCACGCAGGCAAGAGTGATGCCTCTTTGCTCACAGCTAACCTCGTGCCCGTACACAGTAGGCCCTTGGAAATGTGTGCGCGAATGAATGACCGCCAGGCCGCGGCCAGAGCTGCCAGCCCACCGGGCACTGCAGTGTGTGCCCGTCCTGGGGTCACGACCGCGGCGTTCCAGGTACCTGCCCCTCCTGGAGTGGGGGTGAGGGGCAGAGAACCTGGCTCAGACCAGTGTTCCACCCTAACCCCAGCAGTCCTGAGGACCGGAGCTGAACCTCAGTGATCTCCAGGAGGAGACGGGCATCCTGGGGCCTCCGGGTCAGAGGTCAGCGTTTCGGTCCCACTCCCAGCTCTGCCACGGGCTCCCAGGACCAAATTCCTTCACACGTGAAAGGCTCCCCGGAACTGGACTCTACCCACCGTCGAGATTCTTCCCGTTCCCCAGAAGTCTGTGTCTCTAGGGACCCGGGGCAGATGGGTCACTCCAGCGGCAGGCACCCGGTTCGGCCCGGCGCGCTGGTGACTGACAGACGCAGATGTCCCGCCGGCCGCGGGCCGCCCTCTCGCTCCCTCCCTAGCGCGCGCCTCCCGCCTGCTCCCTCCTTCCTTTATCTTATCAAAGCCCCGTAATTACAATTGCTATTTTGTTTCCTCGAATCTGCAATCAGAGCTCCCGGGCCCAGAGGAGGGAGCGCCTGTCAACCTGATCGCTGAGGGACAGCCCGGCCACCTTGCCTCGCCGCCCCACACCACACGCGCGCGCGCACACGCGCACGCACGAACGCACACAAACTCGCACTCCCGTCGGTGCGAACGGCCGCTCCGCAGACCCGCTCTGATCGGCCCCGCGCACCCCCTCGCCCCACGTGCGTCGAAGCAGGCTGCGGAGGCTGCGTGCGCGCCGCGCGGGGTTGGGGTCCCCCTCCACCCGGGACGGGCAGGCGCCCCCAGGCGTGGGCTTGGAGCTCAGGGTGCCCCCTACTGTGCGTTGCGTGCTGAAACGCGGGGCGGGGAGGGCGCGCAGACGACACCCAGCTGTGCTCGCAGCCGCCGCGTCGGGCCGGAGACTTAGCGCGAGGAGACCGATGTGGATTGGGCCCTGGCTGAGGGCAGAACCGCGCTCCCCGCTGCCGCTCCCCGGGGGACCCAGCGAGGAATACAATGGGCGATCGCGGCAGCTGCGGGAGATCCTGGGGCGGAGCCGCGCTCGGGCGGCGGGCGGCAGGAGGCTGCCGGGGAGGAGACGCGGCTGCACCCGTCCGTTTTCCCGCGCCCGAGCCGAGCACGTGCCAGACACCTTGAGGCTGGAGCGGGAAAGCGGGCACAGCACCGCCCAGTTCCTCGCCCCTGCGCGCCAGCCCCAGGGACGGGCCCCTCGCCTCCCGCTTAAATGCCGCCGCGCGGTCGCCGTCGGGCCGCGCAGGCCCCTTCACCCCTGCGCTGGGTTAGAGTCGGGGCCCGGCTGCTCCCGGCGCGGGGCCGCAGCGAGCGGTTCCGAACTCGGCTACTAGAGGGCGCCAGCGCTTCCCTCCCTGCTGCCTGCGACCCCGACGCAGGTCCCGGGCTTTCCGGGCCCTCGGCCGACTGGCGGTGCGGACGCTTTGCGGGGAAAGGCGCCCGCGACCCTGATCGCTGCCACAGAGAGGGCGCGTCGGCCTTGGGCCTCAACCCGAGGAGACACTGGAGCCCCCAGCCCCGCACCACGGGCGTGCGGGCTGCTGTTCCGTCCCGCGGGGCCCTCCCCGCAGTCCCCAGCCGCGCCAGCAGCTGCCCTTTCGCCTCATCTGGGCCGCTCCTCCGTGCCCACGCGCTGGCCGGCGTCTGGTGCGGCCCCCCGCAGCCCCAGCCCTGCTCTCTGTCCGTCCTCGGCCCGCCGGCCCCAGGCTGTCTGGGGAGGGGCCGTGTTGTTTGTTTGCTTGTTTGTGGGCTACTGACACCCCCTATCAACACAGCTGCTGAACTGCTGACCCCAGCGCCGCTCGCACACGCTCCTGCTCCCCGAGCACAGCCCTTCTCCTCCGCGGGGCGGCAGAAGCCAGCACGCCCCAGAACCCCGCAGGCGCGGGGACCCCACGCCGGGTGGTGCGCTGGGGGTGGGGCGGCAGCCCGGCAGGCTGACTCCCAGGGGCCCCTTTCTGCCCCATATGCCAGGCCGCCGGGATTTTGGTTTCCCTGTCACCCAATCTGGCCAGTCCCCTCCATCTGGCCCTGGGAGTCAGGTTTCTAAGGGCCCAGCCTGAGACCGGCGGAGGGGCAGACAGCGGTCCCGGCCCGCCGCACGGCCGCTCCGGGCCGCGCCTCCCGCGCTCGGGATGCGCATTCCTCAGGCCGCTTAAGCCCACTTATCTGCCCCCTGCCCGTCAGCCTGAGTGCTGACAGAGGCCCGGACTCCTTGTTTGGACGCCGATAACCTCCTGGAGCCCGCGCCGCAGGCGCTGGGGATGAGCAGGCCGCGGCGAGGGCGCCGCGGGCAAGGCAGCCGGGTCGCACCCGGAGCCCTGGGGCCAGCAGCACCCCCATTCCTTCCCCGGGCCCGGGTCCGGGCCGCCCTTTACGCTGCCACAGTGCCACCTGGTGGTCCCTAGGGAAATGTCACCCGGGCACAGGAAGAAGGCACACAGAGTTGCAAAAGAAACCACATCACTTTATTTCAAACTTTATCTAAAACTGTAAAAAGTGTTAAAAACGTGTAGTTCTGAGCTTCAGGTACATCTTCCAATTCACAGAAGTTGGGGAGCGGGGAGCGGGGCTTGGCGGAGGGCCGGAGCACCGGGGGCCGGCAGGGCCCAGTCCGTCCCGCCCAGGCTCTGCCCCACAACGCTGCTCCTCCGCGGGGAAGAAACAGTCACAATCCTGAGACTCGTCCAGGAACGCCGGGCGCGGAGCGCGAGCCCGCCGGCTCCCTGACCTGGAAGAGCAAGCCAGGGATCGCGCGCAGGCCCTCGGCGCCCCCCTGCCCCTCGCAGACCTCGGGGCGCCCTCCGTCCGCTCACCGAGGAGGGCTAGGGCCTGGGCCTCTGCTTTTTAGCAGGAAGGACGGGGCACAGCTCTGCTGCTTCTTCGTCATCCTCCTCGTCCTCGGAGACGTCGTTGCTTACGGTAACTGGCGGACACGCGGGGGAGGCGCTGTCAAGGCCGGGCCTGCTCGGTTACACGCGCCTCTCTGCGGCCCGAGCGCTAGGCCGGCGGGGAGCCCGCCTTCCCGGAGACCGCAGGCCCGCCGGGAGACGACGCGCGCTGGACTAGCTAAGAAGAGCCCAAGGGGCCCGTCCCCGCAGCCGGAGGAACGGGCGGGCTGCAGCAGGGGGGCGCGGGCGGGGC